GTGTAGATGGCTTTGATAATCCCGAAAGTGAGAACTAATCGCATCCTCCAGTTTAATCAAAGGCTAGCTTTATAACTTGTTTTGAACCAAATAGTGATGTCATCGCAAGAACTGCGTTCTACCGGTTAGGCTTCGTTCATACTCGCCAGCGCCTACTATCGACCACTAGCGTTCCGAACGTCCGGCAGCAACAGCGACCAGGAAACTATAGATATCGATCTAGCGTCCACCAGCGTCTACCAGCGATCACCAGCGACCGGAGTAGAGTTTTTGGGGAAGTAGGAGTGGCAAGCAGCTGGATTAGGCGTCTTGAAATTGTGGCGTGTGCAACCGCACCGCACAACTGGTAAAGCAGAGAAAAGAGCAATTTGATGTACGCTGTAGTGTCTGTACGGTGCGGTTGCACACGCCGTGATTTCACCACCCTTAATCTAGTTGTTTGCTACCCTACTACTTCCCCATACACTTTACTCATGGTGAACGCCGGTGGACGCTGGTAGTCGCTATAAGCCACTAAGTGCAGGACCGGAATTTTTCGAAAAACTACAGTACTTGGCTTCGTTGCGGGACCTGCGACCGTACTCCCGGCACATTATAAGGCATTTCAAACTGGCCTAATTTCGAGTGCGCATTCTTCTGGATTTGGAAAGTTGATAAACGTTCATTAGATTATGAAGATGAAGATTGTTGGCTCACAAAGTGTTTTTGCGTTGTTTAGGTTTCACTGCTGAATATATACGCGCAGGCCAATTTTGTACTTCTAACCAACTAAAGAACTTTTATGTGAGCATTCATCAGAAGTTTGAGCTTACTCACATATGCAGTAGGAAATACTGTATGCTTCCAAAACTGCAGACAATTTTACAACTTGATAATTTTCGATTGCTTGCTCCGTCAAAGGTCTAGATACATTCCTAAGGCAAGGGTTCGTACTCAGTTTGCTATGGGGTCGAGCAGTTTCTCTTAATGCTTAGTATGGAAATCTAGATTGACTCTTGAAAAAAAAGGAAATGAGTATACGGATACATCACCTTTTCATATCACAGAAATCAAAGCAGGAACGTAGGTAAAATATTTGCATGTTTTGAAAGCATGTTATGTGTTTCTGCTTGTCTGCCGTCTGCTCAAGAAAGATATCAATAACTCTTCAAAATACCATTTTTCAAGTGAGGTACTTTTGTTAATCTCAAACCATTCCAAAAGTTCCTTTACCTGTAGCATGTAGGAATGATATGCTAACTTGCCAGACATATGTGATACTGGACCTACAAAAAGGCAGAAGACTGTTTTGATCCATAGCATAATCGTCTCTTTGACAAATGTCTACCTTCCGTTCTCCCTGAATCGAAAAGAAAGCTCATGTAAATTTAGGCCAGTTTGGAATGCCCGCAATGTGCCACTGAGTACGGTAGCTGGTCCTGCAACGAAGCTAAGTACTGTAGTTTTGCGAAAAATTCCGGTCCTACACATAGTGGCTTATGTAGTCGCTTGCAGATATAGGTCGATACCAATACTTCCTCAGCCGTCGAGAGGCTGCTGGTCGCTGGAGGACGCTGCCGCAGAGTATGAACGCAGCCCTACAGTCTTGTTCCATAGCCCGATGCTGCGTGAATAGGTGACATGTGTGAGATCACAGGCGTCATACAACTTATGTCACCCTGGTTCATGCGGACTTATTTAATGGCTAACTTACCTATCGGTCTTCAGAGTGTTTCTGAAAATAGTTAACTTAGAATTAGCCTAAGGACGTGATGCTACGTCCTTCTCATCCTCGTGCTCAGTCACTATTTCGATTACTACCTTCGGATTCTGAGTTTTCATTATTCCGTCGCTCCCCAACTTCCGTGGATTTCTCGAACCTGCTTATCGTGGATTTCATTTGCTTTAACAAATTGACTTTACTTTCAGCTGATCTTGGTCGGAGTTCTTTTAATGAGTGACGCAGAGGAGTGGGAAAATCAGATTTATTCTATACCACGTTCAAAAAAGACGAGTTATTTTTGTAGTAATAATTTATTAACGTCGAACGCTATCATCTTTTTTCTACATTAAACTTGAGCGGACTGTGGGCGGCAGTTGCAAACATTGTAATGGGAAAATTTTGAAACGGCTTGCTTGTGATTTAATGCTGAGCAATTGTCCACGCAGCGAAAATAATCCCATGTCAAAGCTGAAAGAGCGGCCGGCACCCGAATGGATGGCAGTGAATTCAGCCTAACTCTAGTTTTTTTGAGGTTCGGTTTCAAAAACGCCATCGCACAGGTATCACAGGAGTAGAGTGTGCCTCAAAAGCCAGGGAAGCTTCAACGTCGTGGAGGAGGTGCCAAGCAGGCATTTATGGACACTTGAGTTCCTCATTCCCAGCAAGAGAGGCTCGCGGGAGGATACTGTCAGCAGCTAAAAGTCATTTTCCCACTTACCTTCGTAGAGTACTAGATTCAAGGAGCTCACCATTCTCAAAAGCAGTCCACGGCGAACTCTGGTGGCTCGCAATATCTCGTGAAATATTGACGTGCATCAGCGAGTAAATTTTTACCACTCAAGAAAAAGAAATGCTGAAGAAGGTGCAGTGACACGAGGCGTGATTTGGAAGTAAGTCTAGGATCGGGTGGTGCCCAAATCAGCCAAACCTTTCGTCCCATGAGAACTCCTGAATTGGTAACAGACCCCTCTGAAAGGGCCAGAGACACGACTTGTATATTGGCTGGCTCCGCAGTGCAATTAAAGACAGCTCCCGCGCTCATGTAGTTCGAAGTCGTCCTTCCTTGTGGAAGTAGTCCAGCCCTCAAGAGACTGTTCCACTTTTGCGACTCCACAACGAGCGAGGAGGGTGCTACAGCCGCTAAAATCCCTAGTTCTAACACCCGCTCAGTTGGACCGCCCACTTGCTAGATGTCCTCTCCACATCTGACGCAGGGCCGCTCAGTTGTTCTTTGTTGGGGCGGCGGGCATTAATCGGAATTGCATGTCCATTTTTGCTGACCGCGCTTGTGCCCATAAGTAATTCTGCTCTCCTTCATTCACATTTTATTCATTAATAGCACATACAGTCAACTGCACGAGTAAACTCGTTAAAAACACCAGTGATTCACTCTTTGGTGCAAAACCTCGACTTGCACTCGGTATTTTTATTGTTTTTCGTATTCTTTCGATTGTATTGGACGATATTCCCAACTGGGAGATGCAAAAAGCGATTTGTGAGCCAGGGGTTGCACAGAGACCGCAGGGCGGTGTGACTGTCAGGGAGCGATTTTGTTCATGGTGTTCTTGAGGACTCTTCTTGCTTTTTTCTTCTTTGGGAATTACTTATCAGCTACTGTTTCATAAGTGAGCAGCAGCTATCCATGACAAATCGCGGGAACTGTCTTTGAGTCGGGTTCAGCAAGAGCTAGCATAGAAAGGATGTGTAGTGTCTGAAACATCACAGAAGGAGGTGGTTCAACTGAAATGCTCATTCTCTACTTTGAGAAAAAAACCCTTACTCATCTATCCTTGCTTCTGGGCCCTCGTTTCTGACGCACAGTATCTCTACATCGCCAAGGATAATACAGCTGAAACATTTATCAGGATCAGTTCAGATTTTCCTCTGGAGCTGAGTATTCTCTAGAGTTATGCACCAGTTTGTCAGTGACGAAATCCCTTTCAGGGCACATCATCGCTGGGAGTTTTCTAATGGGGCAGGTCGTGTTTCACCGCTGCACGCAGGGTGTCGCGAGCGGAGTTTCAGTCGGAATCGAGCTACGCATTGTTTTTAAATTAGTTGCTAAAGTAGTCCTAAGTTGTTAGGAGCGAATACGCACTGTAGTGAGCTCTGATCTTGAAAACGTGAAAACATTGTAGTCAATTAACGGTAGAGAACTCTGTTCAGCGGAAAACATTACAAATGAATAAAGTGGTGAACCTGCAGGTTAACCCAGGCTAACCAACTGCACTAATTGGTTAACGTGCCTGAATATGCAGGTTAAGGAGGCGAACTTTATGAACACATCTGCTTGCAATGACAGAGATCACGAAGAAATTACACCTTCCCACCACACCTGCGTGGAAATTTGATGCCTGGCGCATCCAAAGCAAAGGAAAAGCGGCTCTAGACGAACATCTCCTATTTCTGTTCCACGAGTTTCTATTTCAGGAGCTGCACTGAGCTCTCCTTTTGGGAGCGGTCGAGGTTCGCTTGGACTCGGCTGTCCAAAATCCTCAACATGGTGCGCCCCTGCCCCTCCTAAGTTTTCTCTTATATGACTAGACTATGAAATCAACAAAATTGAGTACACGTCATGACAATTCTCTCAATGGCTAGAGGGAATTGTCATACTCCATTTTGCTGCTTTTTTCTGGCTTTTTCACTAATTTTTTCACGTCTCACTTGCGAGTATTAGCACGCCTTAAAGACCGCTCAAACAATGTACGCAGCTTCAATAACCGATAAATGGACGATAAGATATTTTCGACGCGTAGTGCTATAAGATCTGAAGATGTCAATTCTGAACTCTGACACTGATAAATTCCTGTGCGGCTCTCAGTCTATTTCCCTTCGGAGTGACGTGTAAGATTGAATGCTGTGTGCCCTCGATATCTATTTTCATGTTTTCCAGGCAATCTATGGGACCAATTTGCCGACCCAGAAAAAAAATTTTTTTTGGTATGTCTGAGGGATTCAAATTGTGGGTTGGCTGGTCACCTTACTGTAAATGCCGCAGGAGCTGTACTTAGCTAAACTGTGTGACCACCAGTCAGGCGAAGTTGTGCTTATCGTGTGCTGAACGGGCAGTGCATAGCTTTTGTGCTGTCGTTGATACACCCGAAGTAAAACAGAAACTGTGAAATGGTGCAAAATAAGCTGACCTATTGCTTCAAGTAGGTGAAACAAACGTTTTAGTAGCGATTCTAAATGGCTAAATTGAATGAAGCCCACTTTTCTCTTTTTTGTTTCTATTCGTCCCCTTTGTAATTTTTTTCTGCTTAATGCTCATAAGATACTCAGCTTATTTTAGGGCTGCCAGACTCGTGGAAGGGTCTGTACGAATGCCACGACGCAAGGTAGACCTTTCCTCCTGCAGGCTGATTTTCAATCAATGCAGGAACGGGCGGTGGGGGCAGACACGGTACAGCGCCTAGCTTTCAGAGGCAGGAAATCTCATGTATATAGAAAGGGAAAGGCCCAGAGGAGACGAGACACTGCCTGAGGTGTGCAAGATATGAATTGGCAACATTGTTATTCTTTGAGCGGAACGTCCCAACTTGGGCGGTGGAGTTACTTGGCGAATATGCGCCGCTAGCATACACCTCTTCAGTCAATTTCGCGGCAGAAAAAATTGAGCAGAGAGCTTTGGCATTTGGCGATAACTCTTGTAGGCAAAAAGTGTCCTACACTTCAAGTAATGGCGCATGTTGTCTCAGGGATGAATGACCCGTTCAAAGATTCCGTGCTTATCAAAAATTTTTAGCTAACTTGAGTACTGCTTTCCGCCTTAGACCAAATCTGGAAAACTGGCTGATCAGAATGATCATTACAATGCAGAAATTCGCGTATCAATGCTCTTCGTTCGTAGAATGAAGGGGCGTGTTAGTTTGGCTGTGTTTTGCCGGAGCGGCGCCGTTCCAGCCGTTCTCCAGACCAATTTTTCAAGATGGTAAGCGGCAACAATTGGGGATAAAGCGGCTGGTTGATTGGTGGAAAACGGCTGGTTGCGAATGATATGATGCAGTATTGTCACTTGTCGAAGGAAAAAAGCAAAAAGGTTGGTTACGCCAAAAGCCCATCACCCTTGTTACGCCCCCATCGGCAGCGGACAAGACTGTACAAGTCCGAAATGCCACTATCCCACTAGAAGAAGCTCTGTTGCTTTCGTTTGGAAGAAATGCCACGACCTTTTCATCTTCGAGATATGGATTGTACACGTAAATATTACAGTGCTCATGACGCTTCGATCAAATTGATATCGAATTCAAAATCCTGGACAGATGTTGCACTTTCAGAGCAAATTGGTCCTTCTTATCAAATCAATCAGCATATTTATACGGGCTCTCGAAAAAGTGTGGAAATATTTGGCATGGCGCAATCTATATAGGCATACATCATCTTGTTTCTTTTCAATCATTTCCTTGGCACGTCGTACATACGTTGGGGATTCCCAGCGAGGGGGTCATTTTTTGTCGCTGGAGGGAAGGGGTCTTATTTGCTTCTTAGAACAACGCTTTCGGTTGTTAACTCTTGGTTTTCTCCATTATCATAGGAGACCGGACTTAAAATAGGGGGAACCTCAAAGGGGGGTGTCGTCATCAAAAATTGTTCCTCACGGGACATGTCCTAATCACCGCTCAGTACGGTAATAATGATAATAGGTTTGCGCTCATTTTGATTTTCGAATTACCTCTCGTTTAATGATTTCTACTTATTAAACTTACTCAGATGGCTTCATAGAAACACATCGTTTCTTTTGACACATTCATAAATTCTTCATATTGATGAATAAGAGGGTGGAAAGGATCAAATTCGGCCCCGTTTTGTTATGCGATAGGCGCGACCTTACACTTGAACTCTCCTTACGCTGCACTTTGGCCCACAAGTAATCATATAGAGTCTAGCAAATGGCTCAATGCACTTCATCTCCCTGCCACTCCATTGACGGAAGTGTGTTTCACTTCAATAATTTCCAACTCCAATCAGTTGACTGCCCTTAGAAAAATCATACTGGCGCCATTTCCGGCATTTCAACTGCAGCCATATTCTCTTCAAGAGGAAATCAACACGACTATGCTTGGCTTTCCATGCTTTGCCGACTTTATTCGGTGCTTTACTACGAATTGCGATGGTCATTCCATGAATACTAAAGTGGTCTCTTGTTTTATGTGCTTGCACTAATCCGAACCTTTTCTCTACGAATCCACTAAACCTTATCTGATTTAGCTCGGAATCCTTCGCATAAAGCTATTCTAGCTATGGTGGTTTTTCTAATGCGAGCACTCACGCTCTCACAAATCATTCCATTCTACTGCCACGGAAACCACTGAGATCGCTGTTAGAAAACTGAAATCCCACCGAAGGAGGTTTCTTTTTTCCAATCGCCTTCAAGTTGTTTGCTTTTTTATAGGTTGTTACGTTATATCAAGAAATGCATGGTTGGGGGAGTCTCTCTGTCTCACTAAGCTCCAACAACTTTTCTTCAATAAACTGATGTTTTTATCCGACAAAGCAATTTACACACTTGTAAGAAAGACTATTTCTTGAATACACATGTGACCTTCTGGTCTCGAAACGCGTAAAAATACAAAGTAAAAATAAAATTAAATAATATAAAATAGTATAATAATGAATAATATAAATAAAATGCACAATATAGTAAAAAATAAAGTAATAAACAAAATATTGGTTTTATTTCCAGATATCTAATCGCGATTTTCGTTATAATTTATAGCTTATATCACCAAGCGACCTGTAGGCGGGCAATCAGACGCTTCCCACCTAGCGGCCTTCGCCGACCAGTGAGGCTGATTCCCTTCGCTAAGCATCGATCATTGCCTCTGCCTGACGAATTGTAGAGCAAGACGCCGGCACGTGAGCTCGGGCCGCCGCATGCCGCCTCGGCCGCCCCCGACCGGTTGCATATGTCTACAAGACTATACTTCTAGCCGGTTAGACAGTGGGACACACGCCGCTGAACCTCTCGAAACATCAACGAAGTATGGGGCCAGGGAAGTGTCAACGAATGCGCAGTAAAATGTTTGCTCAAGAAGTTTCGTGCGGTAACACCAGCCTCGAAGACGAACCACATCGGGCGAGCCATCTTACCCAAACACCTAAATCGATCTATTGGAAGGCGTCAATTAGAGCTGATCCGGACAAAGCCACGCGAGATATCGCCAAACAGCTCGACGTCGATCACGCTACAGTTTCTCGCCATTTGAAGCAAATTGGGAAGAGCAGGAAGCCTGACAAGTGAGGTGCGCATGAATTGACCCTGTGACCCAGAAAGGTCGCTGTCGTTGGCCCACCTTTTAGCAATTCAAATGATCCATTTCTTCAAACGGATTGCGGTTCTCGATGAGAAAAGGATAGTCTACGATAAAAGACGACGATCTATCCAGTGGCTGCACACGACATCACCAGAAGCTGAAAACGCACAAAAATCAGATTATGGTTACTGTGTCCTGGTCTAGAGCTGCTATGACCACTACACCTTTCTGAACACGGTTGAAACGGTCACAGCAGAAAGTGCTGTCAGCAATTCGACTAAATGCACCAGAAACTTCGAAGTAAATGTCCGACATTGATCCGATATTGCATGACAACGCTAGACTTAACGTCTCGCTGATCACACGGCAAAAATTGCACAATAGAGTAAAATGTACTAAGTTACACTAAGTGTGCTAATAAGGGACAAAAGACGTGGTCCGTTTTCGCCTTTCAAACAGACGAACCACAGTTGTTTGCACTTCTCATAAGGCTCTTCAGTGATCAGGGGAAGGCAGATGTATTGCAGTTGGTGGAAGAAGTGGTAGAGCATGTGAGAAGTAGGTATATAAGCATACTACAAAGAAGTCAAACCATCACGAAAAAAACAGGAAAAGAAGGAAGCTATAGAGGAGTGAATAGACAAACGGGACCGAACTACGAAAGACAGACAGACAGACAGAGATGTTGAACTACGGAACTCTGGATCATCCACCATACTCGTTGGACCCTTCGCCTACTTATTTTCACTTTTCAAGTACCCTGACAACTTCTTGCGAGAGAAGCACTTCAGGAACCAAAATGTCGTAGAAATGCCTTCAATGAGATTATCGCTTCCAGATCCCCAGACTCTGATATTGGCATGAAGAAGCTTGCTTCTCGTTGGCGAAGGTGTGTTGATTGTAATGGCGATTACTTTGGTTGAATATACTCTGTAAGAGCTGAGCTATATTCGT